AAACCCTAACCAGGCGATTGGGTGACATAAGTCCCGTTAGGCTACCTGGATGGGAACCTCGGGATGATCGTAACCGATGGTTAGAGACATTGAGTGATATGGCTGGGTGCCGTAAACAGTGGCGTTCGCATATCTTCTCAATTTCCCTGCAACATAAGTATACTGAACTTCTTAATTTTCTTTTCGATCCTACACTCAAACTTCCTGTTTTCATTTTATTGTTCCTCCAAATGGGCAGGTAGAGGAGAGCAAGCAGGGGCAACGCACCGAAGTGTATGCTTAATTCAAGCTGGAACTGTAGCTAGGCTAAATGAGCACACAACCAAGGGTTCAGAGAGAAAGAAATCGGTAACACTGGGTACATCAAGACTGTGCACCCACCTTTATTACGTACTTTCAATCTGACCGTACTATTCACGTTCAACCGAATTTTTGGTTGATATGAATCCAAACGGGTCTATGGTGCTGTGGGTCTAGACGCTGTTATAGTGACAAAACGAGCGCACAGGTGGCATTTATGTGCATGATTGNCAAAAGGCGATTTTTCTTGGAATGTGCGACGTGATACACAGCACACACTGTGATACACACAGTCTGTCACCAGAAGTGATTGAGTTTCACCATGACAGCAATGATGATTAGGCAATGCACACAAGCATCCATTAACAGTGTGATATTTAACGAACAGTAGGATATATCCTACTCATAGCACAAAACGTATGACCCAAGGAGCTCACGAATACTTCACTTGAAAAAATACCAACCACCGGTATTTGGAAACTTGTAGAAAAAGCCGGGAATGTGAGACCACGCCTCGAATAAATGTTGCTCTGGTTTGGCAGTGAAACGAACGTTACTGTCTAGAACAGTCATGAGGCAATCACGAAGCTACCGTGCTTTTACGTGTGGATGTCAAAATGTACTTGCGTAATTATCAGATTGACTAGTTCATTATCCAAAAGCGTTCAAGAAAGTTTGGTCAATGGTCAATCAAGAGATAAACTTTTACTTCTTCTGGTTATATTTTACTACATCAAATCTTACACAATTCGTCCATTGCATTTTGATGTATCATTTGAACACATACCCCGATCGTCTTATCATATTTAACTGTCTTGTCAATTTTGGTATCAAAAGTGTATCACCTATTTGACACAACTTCTTACCAGCGCGGATGGAATCGTGAGGGAACTTTTACTGATGGCTGGTGTTTGATACTTTCATTTAGAGCCTGCCCAAATTTGTAAAAGCTTAAGCCGATGAATATTGTACTTTTTGCTTAGAGTGTATTCTACGACATGCGGTCTATTCTAACTAGGTTATTTTTTACCGCATTTATAAACAGTGAAGAGAACAGAGAGCAATACCCCAGGTAGTGAGAAGTGGTCACAAGCCAATGCAACTTTCACCTGACTGCTCGGTCTATTCCCGAAGCCTTGTACAGCAATTTACCTCGGATATAAGTGTTGTCACGTAAGGGAAATGTCCATTTGTCAATTAGTTATTCTCTAAATTAATCTGCCTAAAAATGGGACGGAAAACTGGTTTATCAAAAGTGGGGTACACAAGGTAGCAGATCGGCTGATCTAATTTAATGACAAAGGAACTTGATCATCGTGTGCTTAAGCTGCAAAGACATGATTGGCGTATAATCACGGGAATGGATTGACCAGCTTGCATCAATCGGACGAAAACACAAACAGTGTCAATTCTTGAGGTCACAATCGGATAGATTGGATAAGCGATAAACAAGGACGAACAGCAGGTTATGTTTTTTATTCCCTCTGACTGATGTCCATTAAGGAGGGACGGAGCAATAGACAAAATCTGCGACAAAAAACGAGCTGGGTTGCGAATTAGTGTTCTGAAACAGTCAGCGAGGGCATTCTCCAGTCCTTACTCTCCGGAAAATAGGAGAACTGGACCAACAAGCAGATTACGCAAAAACGTCAAGCTATATTCTCACAAGCGGTAATCGTCGAGCGGGTTCGCTTTGGACTCAAGATCTGAAGTTCAAACCTCATCATCATCAACCGGTTCTAATTATGGCAAGCTTCTTTGTGGTGCGACTCAATAACACACATATCCTAGCAGGACATAATTGATTGCTATGGTGGAAGAGATCCATAAACAAACAGTGACTATGGGGTCATTCCATATGTAATATATCACAACGGATCTTCTACCACGAGATAAATTACACGTATATATATATATATATATATATATATATATATACGTGTAATTTATCTCGTGGTAGAAGATCCGTTGTGATATATTACATATGGAATGACCNGGTCATTCCATATGTAATATATCACAACGGATCTTCTACCACGAGATAAATTACACGTATATATATATATATATATATATATATATATCAGTTAGATGGGATGATTGAGCGTTGTGCGCAGACTGTGCTCCATTTCCTAGTGTGCATGGAGTAGTAGACGAAATCATCGGAGTAGGAACAAACAGAACTCCATCCAGTTCAGTTCAGTTCTTAAAACCATTAACCACGCACTTTCGTGGGCCGGTTTTGGTTGCTGTCTTCTGGTTGCCCATTTGGATAAAACAGCAAAATGATGACTAGAATGTTGAGAGCAGATTCAAGCGCAGGACAGCACATTTTAATAGTCTGAAGTTACAAGCATAATGAGTAGATGCATGAGCGCCACTGGTTGCGACACCCAGACATCGCGCAGTGCCTTTAACCACCGGTGATCATGATCTCTGGGTAATCAGCCAGGGAGCCTAACAGGACATTGTCAGCCAGTCCTTTGGTCGGGGATCTCATACCCTCATGCGAGGTCTTACCTTGACCTCCCTTCATTTTATTCCAAACGCTACCTGCCTCGCAAAGCATCGCTCGCCGTGACAACCTATCTGGTGACATGCGTAGCACATGTCCCAACCATCGTAATTTACGGAGGTCGACTACCCGTTCCAGCGGACGACCGCGATTACCTAAAACTCTACGCATAACCTCAGCATTGCTCGTCCGGTTACCCCACCAGACTCGTGCAACGCGACGTAGGCAGTGGTGTTTGAACACCGAAAATCTTTTTTATACTGTTCCTGTAATGGCCAAGTCTCTGTGTCGTAAAGTAGCATTGGCAGAACC